ATGATTGTCCACAATAAGAAAGTTCTTATGCAAAATCAATAACAAAGTAACTTTATACAACAGAATGATGCGTTGTACTCAGAAATGATTCAGTAAAAACACACCATATTACTAGGCAGGTTTGCAGGTTGCTGCAGTGCACTTGCAACTGTCGTACAGTTCGATTCGAATTCCTCACGAGCTGTGTGCTTCATTTTGGTTATATAGGAGAGTACATTATAGGAATATTGTGACGAGTGATCCGATTCCAACGTTGAAGTGGTCACGTTGAAACGTTGGAATGCCTTTTTCAACGGCTTAACATATTAGCACTATTATTAGACATAACACGACACATAAGTACAATCATAAAAATAATCAGCCAGCATCGAATACCAGCTCGATGCATACGTTCAGATTGAACACAACAAACCAGTGACAAGCACAACAACAACCTACCGCCAAGTAATAACAAGGCGCAGACGCAATGTACTTTTCCAGTCGCAATTTCCACGCTTGATTCGTTCTCAAACGCGGATCCTGTTTGATTTCTTCGACGAGTGGTAATAAAATCGGATAATTGTATGGCATTAAGAATAGATTTACTGATTGTAAATTGGTTGCGGCTTTCAAATACCCGAATGGTGCCGCATTAGTACCCGGCTGACTCGAATTCGCCACGAATACCTTAATATAATTCCGCATACGATAGGTTACCTAATATTAATTCGAAACTATTGAATATGGCTCAATTAATAACAATGAATTACTCCATCTAGCAATTTTTATAACGTCCATACAAAACTGAGGTACTCTCAACGAAATATCACTTAATAACGATGTTATCTTACATCATTTACACACTCAACTATTCATCACTGTTGAATCAGAAAATGGAAACAGAATGTTTTTGTGAAATTGAATTCATCACAAATTGAGTATAAATTTACGAAAACTCTTCAAGTGTTCACTGAATGAAAATGGCAATTCATAAACAAAAAGTGATTGAAAATGAACGAACAATTAAATAAAAACACATTTTCAAGCACAAATAAGTAACGATATCAAAGCCAATACTAAACCAATGCAATTCAGTAACGCAACCCTACCTGCCAACAGACGTTCGGCTGCTTTCGTTCCAAAATGAACTGGGTTAACGGTGATGGTTCGAGTTCGTATTTATCGAAAGGAAATTCTTGACATACCAACGGATCGCAATCATCACATCGAAACATTATTGTTGGATGCGCTTTTCTCGGTGGTAACGACATCCTGCGCATTTGCATAATCGTTATTGAAATTTTGTCGAAGGATTTCAAAACGAGAACAAAAACATTTTCAAAACGAAAACACATTCGAATTTCGATAACTTTTGCATATCGCATCNNTTCCGAATTCACTCTACGGATCGTCAACAATAACATTTTTTATAAACTCATCAAGAATGATTCAAATGAATAGGATTTGATTAATCGTAGTTGAAATGAATAAATTACATGTTTTTATCGGGCCAGAATACTTCTGGAATAGGCCAATTGCCCAAATACGAACGACTGGAGACTCTGGATGAGATGGTTGTCAATACGTTACGCCATCCACCATCATCAGCCACACTCTTCTTACTCATACCTTCAACTTCACCATTTCGTTTCGCAACGCCATTCTCTACTGCACCATTGATACGCTCTTTAAATGTTCATTTCAATTGCAGTCATTTTTATTTCATACTAATATATTATGCTACGATAACGGCTCATTGAGTATTTGCGTTACTGTTTCAGTATTATCCATACTCATTCTCAATACAATTCAAAATCAACAATTGAAGAAAACTTTTGAGATGAAACACAACAATATCTCAAATTTCGAACACAAAAAATAAGAATAACAAAAAATCAAAAAAAANAAATGCTGGAGTGATACACAATCAAAACGATACGAAACATGCAAAATACCTGATATGGGCGGTGCAGGGTCAGCGCCAACTTGCTGGAAATGAACCAATGCACCATGCTGTTGCATTTTTTGAACGATCGTATCCACACACACCCCCAACATCTTATGTGATGTGATACAGAACGAACGACCTCAAATGCAAATTGCCCGTTATTACTATCATATTTATTATCAGTTATATTATTGAGCATAAAAATACTTCTAAAATTTCTTCCAAACAATTTTGTTGCCCTCCATTTAGCGCAGAAACGAACAAGGAAAGTTATATTCTGTTATGGCAAACAAACACACAGAAAGGCCAGACCCAGTTACTGCCAGTTTGCGTATAGTACTTTCGTTTGCAGTAATTTCGATGAAGGTTCTCAGTGGAACTGTCTCAAATAGTGACATTCAAATATTCCCCTCAAAATCACCAGCTTGCGCCTTATTGAAGGATTATCGCAACCAATAGTGAAAAATTACCGCCAGTAGCAGCACACATCGCATCGATCGGACTATTATCGAACGGTATATTCATACCGCTAACAATTTTGGCATTACTCGGCAACGAACCACTCAGACGCAACACAATCGCATATAAACGCTGATCCCATCGAAACGGTTCTTCTGTTAATTCATTCCCAATTGCTGTTGGCTTCGCAATTGATATCTTCAATTACCGAATGGTTATTTTCAGTTGAGG